TTTTTTTTTTATGGAAAATGTAGAAATTGAGGTGCAAATACGACAACCAATGCTTGCTAGAAGGGTATTAAAGTCATGCAAGATATAGTAAACATTGACAAAGTGACTTTTCATGCTAGTGCTCCGGAAAGTTCCACCCAAATCAGTTAGGCTTAACGCGCTAAAGGCAGCTTTTGAAATAAAAGTTTTAAAAGTTATGCCATTTTACCAAATTGATTTTGTCAGAATTGTGTTAGATTAACACTTGCAGTATTTCATTGATAATTGGAAAATGTTTTTGGGCCAACTACCAATGAAATGCTGTCAAGTATAACTCTTACACAATTCTGGTAAATTAATCTGGTAATATAGCGTAACTCAAAGTTTAAATATGGGGCCACCCGTCCTTTGCCTGTTTATCATGCTACAGAAGAATGGATTATAAAATAACAACTTTTATCAAGTAAATAGGCTCCAAACAGGCGCTTAGTTTCTTACTTTCCCGGCAAGTTGATCAAAAGTTTCTTCTTTTAGGACACTCTACCCCAATAATTAAAGTAAGATTATTGCATTTGTTACTCCCACTTGTAATCATAATATGGCCCAATGAGACTTAGGAAGGAAGCAAAAATCAATACCTGCTAACTCCATCTATAAATAAATGCCTAGTTGCCATTGTACAATCATAAAAATAATGAATATTGCTGCTCAAAAACTAGGCAAATGATAAAATGAAGAAAATGAGGTAGAATTTGAGTATGTTTTACTTGCAGGTTTGCCCAATCAGGTTGCTCAGTTTTGTCATTTCTCTCTCCACCCTTCTGTTCTCTACAGAGTTTGCCGTTCAAGGTGACGCTTAATTTACTCACCTTCTTTTCTCAATTCTCATCTCTTTACACGGTTATTTCGCTACAAAATTCTGTAGATTTCAACTGTTTTGATCCTATTTCGTCAACATGGAGGATGCTGCCTAGTCCTCCAATCGAGTAAGTTTTGCTGCTCCTCCATTGGCATCCTTGTTTATCATATAAAATTCTCCCCATTCAGTCTCTAGCAGTTTCAGGGCGCTTAGATTTGATTTCCGACACCACCCACAACGTTCTCCTAGCATTCAGTCATCCATTTGTCTAATTGTCTTCGACCCTATATCCAGAAACTGGTCTTTTGGCCCTCTACTGTCTAATCCACGCCCTGGTGCGTCGCTGGTTCTGCACATGGTTCAGTATATATTGCAAGTGGCATTGGTGTGCAGTACCATGGCAATGTAGCGCAGTCTGTCGAGAAATGGGACATGAACAAGAAGGACTCCGGTTGGAACTGGGGAAAGATGGCTTCACTTAGAGATAGAAAGTTCAGTAGAAAAGCTGTGGAAGAAATTGAGTATATAGGATAACTTTGCATGGTAAATATAAATGGAAAAGCCCCCAAAGACGGGATTGTTTATGATATCTTGATGAATCAGCGGGAAGAAATGCCACGGGGAATGCTCGCCGGATGGAAAGGGCCGGCTACCGTGGATGTTGATTTTCTGTATGTGGTAGATCAGGAAATTGGTTCATTGAAAAAGTATAATGCAGAAAATGATTACAGGGAGAAGCTGATCATGTCATCAGAGCATCTGGAAGATGCTGAACATATAGCTGCAGGCCGTGGAAGAGTTTGTGCAGTTTCTGTCGGCGGTGGAAGTTTATTGTGGTTGATATTTTAACAACGCCGGCTAAGATTTGGGTGGTGGCTCCACCACCTGAAATGGAAGTTAAAGCTGTTCATATATTGCCGAGGATGACTTTTTTTGTGAACTAATCCTCAGAATGTACTTGTAAACAGCTCATATATTGTCTTAAATTAGAAATATTCACTTGCTAACCTTCCTGAAACCTTTAGTGGTGGCTTCAAGGGCTCATAGCAGCCCAAGAAGATTATATATTATGATCTTATCTTCTGTTAATGAAGAATATTATCTTAAATTAAGCCTTTGTTTGAGCTCCATTGCGTAGAAAAAATAGATTTTGTAATAGTGGTTTATTTGAGAAAGTGTGATTAAAAAGTAGAAAAAAAATTTGAATTTGCGTGTAAATTATTTTATTGGGATAATATTAGGTTAAAAATTAGTTTGGAGAAAAATGAATTTTAAAATAATGGGCTCAAATAGGGGCTTAAAATTGTCTGTTGAGTATGATGGAATCTCTTGCGGATTCTACTACAAGTTATATTCAGAAGGACCTAATTTTCCAATTGTTTCACGAAGATATTCTTTTACCTGTGCGTAGAGGTGGGTGTGACCCAGTTTGCTCCAAATCCTAATAGATTCGAGCTAAGCTAGTACAACATAGAGATGGAATCAAACAGTGACCGAACCACTGGAAACAAAACTGCTGAGTTTGGTTAAGATGCTGTTCTTGTATATTTACTAACACCTCCTTAAGCATGTGTTGTTCACAGGCCATGAAACCCCTTTCCATTGTAATTGCCTTTGCTCCGAATCTTCTAGATTAAATGGATTATCTACCAAGGTTGTGTCCTTTAATCGGTGGTGGACCTTGGTCTCCCTAATTTGTAATAGTTACTAATTTAGTTGAGGTTTTACTTAACCCCCTTCTTCTCATTATATCTACATTTCTTGTATCAGTAGATTAGCCATTTTTACCCTAGTTTGTATAGGAAAAAAGCATGACTTAAAGCTTTGCTACAAGCTAGGAATAGGTCTAATATTATCGATCATCTTGGCACGAAAAGAAATCCCCTGATTAGATAAGAGATGTTTCAAAGATAAAACTCGCCATCCAAAGGAATTTAATGTGTAAGAGTGAAGAACAAAAAGAAATTCTTCTTCTCAATAAACCAAATGCTCAACTACAATGAAAAAAATTTACTTATCGGCTAGAACACCCCTCTAACCATAGATCTTCCAAATGCAAACATCAAAATTAAGCCCATGTTCTAGCTTCCATCTTCTAAAACTCATTTTTTCTCAAACTTATTATTAAATACACAGGGGCTCACGACTTTTATTAATTTTCAACTACATATTATGTCAATTTTCAGAAGATACTGATTTTCGAAGTATGGCTGCAATCGCAAATCTGAAATCATTTTGAGCGACCTCATGAAAATGCACATATCTCGAAGTCGGAAAGTCAGAATTACGAACTGATTTGTGTATGAGATTGGTCTGTTGTATCTTTTCAATGATGTTAAATTTGGGGGCTGAAACTTTATGAGAAAAAGCAGTTATTTATTCTTTTCAATAAAGCTATTTGTACATCCAGGGTTAACACCCCAAATGACACTCCCCTCACAAGAAAGGGGGGCCCACACATAATAAAATAATTGCGGGCCCCCCTCTTGTAAGGGGAGTTGATGCGAACCCGATCAGCAAGGTTGCAATCGAACCCACAGGATATTGAATCGGATCCCAAGAACGCCAATATGATCGAGGTTTACGGATCTGACCCCAAAATAGTGAACCAAGCAATCCAA